CCGTGTGGTTTTTTTCTTCTCAAGCCAAGCCTCACTGTGCACGGTGGATGTCGCCTCCGGTAAGCTGCTTGCGCTTAAGCAGGGTCCCGAGTGGGCGGCAATCGAGCCTCGAGGCAGGTCGTTTGCGTACCTCAGGTACGTTTCCATTCCAGGCGGTGCGTAAGGTAGGTAGCGCAACCCCGGCCCCTGTGGCTTTCTCAACTCACCTAAAATACGCCTGAGAATGCGAGGCCAGCGCATTTCGCGACCCGACTGACCAAGGAACGGCAGGGCAAGGTACCTATCCATCTGCGGTTGGACATGAGGAGCACCGTGTACTCAGTACTGCCTCGTACCTTGAGGTAAGCTGTGAATCAGCGCGCAGCCCGTGAGTGAGACCCAACTCAATTTTCGTCTTGGCTCGAGGCAAGAGGGGGGGCAAAGTCTGAAAAGAGGGGAGAGAGATATTGTAGTCGGGCTTGTTTTGTTTGTTTGTTTACCATCTCCAGCACCCGACACATCGAGCCTCCACGAGATGGGGCTTTTCCTGGGATGCTGTCTCTGTTATGCGCCAGACTATGGGTACGTACTGCTCTGCTCCGCATCGAAGAGGATGCCGCTTATAGTGGGTGTCACGTCAAGGACTGCCTTGTTTGGATCACATTTACGGCTGCAATATGTGAAAAGAGACACTGTATTTATCTCTGACCAGCCCAATTATTGCGGCTGGTGGGGACGTGGCCAGAAACCGAGGAGCCTTGTCACTTGCCAGAGCGAGATTCCAGGCTTACCTTACTCCCAGCGAGTAACTTTTCTTCACCTTGCCCACCTGCTTCCGTCACTCGTCACCCATCCTCCAGACCAGGGGATTGGCTCGACTAGCCCGTCTCGTAAGCCCTCAAGTGGCTGAAATAGCACATGGCACACCAAAGCATCCATCCAGCTTTAGATTTCGACACAATATCAAAATAATTCACCTAGTAATGAATAGAATACCAAGATAAATGTTATGGAATAATGGATTATTTTACTATTGATATTTTTGGTACTTTCAAGAAGAAAACGAGGTCTCTAGCTTACACGAAAAGAGCTGTGGTGTGCCATGTTTTATCTCAGTCGCTTGGCCTTTCTCAGTGCCGGTCTGATTCTGCAGACCTGTTGACCATTCCACCTCAGTAATGCACGACTGCTGGCTCATCGTGTCTCCGGTCCCGTCGAGCACGCCAGGATACGAAGCGCAGAGAGCCGCTCCTTCTCTTGGCGACAGTGAAAAAGTGGCCATACGCAGCCCGGTCGATTTGCTCAAGGGATCGATTACCAGATTTCTCGACCTACAGGGTGTAGCCGGGGTCTCTGCCCCTCAACTCCGAATTAGCAAGGTGCATCCGTAACGTGTGGAGAACACTGGCGATATCATTCCCAAACAAGACCCGGTTTCCCGCCGCTCCACATCAGTTTTACTTCCCTCTCTTGTCCTCCGCTGCGTCGTTTCTCATGCTTCGCATCCCCCAGCTGTCTTGGCTGCAGCCACCGGCTTGACAACGGAGCGCCTCGCAGCTGGACAGGAGCACAACCCTACGCCAGAAGGCCACTGGTCACGATCCAAGCTGTGAGTGATTCTGCACGTTAAAGTGTAAACAGCTCACCCAGGCTCGTCATTGCCAGCATGTGTACATGCAGGCAGTACATCATCGTGCTATGACGGGCGGCGCCTAGGTAGTGTTACGCCCTTACCAACCCGCCCACCTGCTAAACCCTTTGGGGGAGTGAGGGAGCCCTTTGGACTCACTTCTCCCGCATCATTCGCAAACACGCAAACCACTGCCTTAAATACTTACGTATGCATGTGTAGTATAAATCTTATTAGTCTAGCCTTTGCGTAAGGTAGTCGAGGTATTCTCAAACCCCCAATTAATAGACCTACTCCTTGTGGCGAAATTCAATTCTTCCAGCGACATATCCTCATGCATCAAGGAAAAAGGTAGCCCCAAGCCGACACAAGGTGTGAAATCTACGCTCTACGCTTGCATTTTACATCCCACTTCCTTTTAATAGGATGATGTCACATAAATACGACTTCACTATCTCATTGCCCTTCCGGCGACACACAGCCAGTCGTCTACTGACGCCACCAAATCTATTTTGTATCAACTGATGGCTGGAGCAAGCTCTAATCGCCCGCCTGGAGAGTGACAGTATCTATATTAAGTATCATCACGCCTAAACCGACGCGATGTTTCCATTTCTGACGTCTTGGCTCGATATTTCGCCTGGCCCTGTTACCGTGCATGCTACCTCTAAAAGCGACGCAGTGCACCTTATTCTGGATCGGGTAAATGCGGCAACGGGGTAATTATACACAGTCTCTGTTGTAGAGAAGCAACTGTGCTATGATGGAGAGCTGCTACAACATTTAGAGGCCACGGTTGAAGATAACCTTGCCATCAACACCGCCTCTGCCATGGAACTCCGGCTCCAGGCTGTCTGCGCTGATCTTCTGATATTGAGGGAAGACAGACAGCGCAAGTGGGAGTGCAGCAAAGGAGGTGACGGCAATCAACCCTAGGTTGATGCCAATGGGCACTGCGCCGGCAAGCTTGGGCCGCATCTTGAAGAACTCCTTTGCCAGCAGGTTCTTATACCATGCCTGCTTGGTCTGAATGTGGTACAGAGCCAGCGCCGGCACAATCATGATGGGCGTGTTGTTGAAAACTCTGCTGGCGGCCGTCTCATACACGGCAAGCTTCGCTGCCTTCCTGCTCTTACCTAGAGCCGGGATATCCGTCTCCGACTTGCCTTCCTCCTGGAGCTTCTTCTTCTCTTCCTCGGAGAGGACTGGGCGAACGTCGATACCGGTCTCGATCTCCTTTCTTCGCATCAAATAGGCATTGAGGGCTCCGGCCGAGGCCACGGCTGCGAAGGGGACCAATCGCTGGAGGATGTTACGAGTACTGACTGACACCTTTAATCTAGGCACCATGGCATTCAGACCAAGAGCGACAGAGCACGAGGCTCCGACGGCGACGAAGTATGACTTGGCCAGATCGGCAAAGGTCAATGGCGATGACTTGTTGGCATTTGCATTGTTGAATGCAACGTTGATGCTCTGGTTGACCACCTGCCAGGCGACGGTGCCTCCAGCGCCCAACCCGGGCTGCAGCATACCAGCTGTGACCACCAGATTGGTAAGAACAAAGCTGGACATGCGGAAAGGCAGAAAGATAGACTCTCCCGTGTCTGCAACATCATGTCAGTCCTCGGATCGATCGATATGCGCTGGCAGTTGCCAACCGGTCGGCCTTTCGTACCTGGGTGAAGCGTAGAGTCGACAATCTTCTTGGCTCGCCATAGTTCCGGAGTCATGTGTTCGATCTTGCCCGTCTTGTAGTCAGTGACGAGTGTCTTAGCTCTCTCGAGACCAGTATTTCCAGCAAGGAGCGTGCTGTGAGCAATCGTATTGTCAGCCAATCGGCACAATCCAAGACAGCCGCCCGTAGAAATAATCGAATCTCAACATACCTTGGATCGGTGACCCCAATCGTATGTCGCACCCGACCAAAGTAGGTAGCCAGATCATACTGCGATGCGGGCAGCTCGCGAGAGCCCGGGAGCGAAGCCGACATGGTATTTTGCTTTTCGATGTCGGATTTCGGCGTTGGGTTGCTGTGTATGGTGCTCAAGGAACGAAAGAATGAATGAATGAATGAGGGCAAACCCAAGGACACCTCGCTCTGGGCACTCGTCGATCTCTGGCGACCCCGGAATCGCTACTGAAGCCGGTTTATGCACCTGCTTGCGAGAGGGGTGGTTATCGCAGTGCAGGGAAATAAGTAGTCGGGCCAGAAAAAGCGATGATAAGCGGGGCCCGATTTCGGCCGCCTGCAAATCAATGGATTGATGATAGTCATACGCGCATGCATTTGGCCGCCCTTGACTGATTGATTACCCGTGACCCTTCCCCTCCTCACGCAAATATGTACATCGTATGGCTATAAATTTTTGCATTTCAAATGTAAATGAGTAACAGGTGGTAAGGAATCGGCTTATATTCGCCGCTGGCTTGCTGGAAACACACCGTGTGACCGAGTCTCCTCCTCTTATCCATCTATGGTGTAAAAGACAGGAGGATCTTGCGTGCTGGAAGGCCAAGATTTCAATTTTCATTTTATTTCATCACCATTAGTGCACAGCTTGTCACCCCGCAGTAGCCGTTGTTCCTTCACCTGTGAGGTTGAATTTCCTCTACCACTTCAACTCCTCTCGGTTGCGGATTAGTATCTGTTAGCATTGACATAGGTCGGTAATGTGCTAACTAGAGTTACCTGCCGTTTACCTAGGTAGGAAGTCAACTGCCTATGAACTACTGTTTCAAATGCGAAACTTGAATCCGGGAAAAAAAGTGCGTCTCCCTGGTGGTTGAACCGTCCTTGAAACCCTCTCACAAGGTAGGAGGTAGATAAAGGTAGTAGCCACCTCGTAGTGAAGATAGACCTTTGAATGGTATCTCTGAGCGCCGTATGGTAAGGTATTGCCGCACTCAATGTACCTAAGGTAATTAAGGTATTAGGCAGTTGTGCAAGGCACTATAGGGAGCAGGTGCGCAGAATAAGAGACGCGCTTGTCGCTCCTGCCTTGAGGTTCAGTTGCAGCCAACTGTAGAAGGCGCGAACGGGCGCGACCGCGACCGCGTTCTCACTTTCACCTCACCTCTCTGTGAGGCTGGCCTTTTTCTATCTATCTTGCCTCTGCTTTATCTGCTATTATCTTAGTTTCCTTCATAACATCTCTCCTATCCTCATCCCTCCCAATATCTTACTTTCGAGTCCCTTTCGAGTCACGATCTTCAATCATAGTTCAAAATCGGAAGATTCCAGAGGGTGTTGGTAGCCTTTGGCTTATCTCTATCGTTCGCGAAAGAAAGCGCGTTTGATCTCGATACAGTCCTGGTAAGAGAAAGAACATAAATCAATCTTGGCCTAGAAACCTTCTGACTTTTGGACCAATATCTAGGTACCTTAGTCATGGAGACAACTCCCATGACCCCCGTGTCCGAAAGACACCATGAAACCCCCGAGAACAATAAAGGGAAAACCCCGACGGCCCTGCGAGACTGGCTTTTCACTCCTGCCCCTCGGTCTATCTCAAGGAATAAGAACGTCTTGGGATCTGACACTGAGGAACCAATGCATTTGATGAACGCAGAAATGCCCTCGAAGCAAAACGGTGTACAAGCAGGTGCTGAACCACCTATCCGGCATTTCGACGAGGAATCAGGCCGATTCAGCAATCCTGATAGCTGCGTCAGTGTCGTGGACAGTTGTGACCTGCAAGCTCTCTCGACAATCGGCACCAACCCAGAGGCCGACCTCCAAGCTTCAATTGAAAGCAACGATCCCGGTGGGATTAAGAAAAGCAGAGAGGACTTACCTTTGGGATATATGAAAGACTGGTTGCTCAATGCAAGAAAGGCTCCTCCCAATGACCCTTTGCTTGCACTCTCGGCCGATGAGCACTCGCATGACTGCGATTTGGATACTAAAACAGGAAAACTGCTCCCTCCTGTAGAATACCCACGAACCATGAGGAGCACCGAGACAGACCCGGATGAGAACGTGGCATGGAGGGAGGTGATGGTTTCATCAAGCACTCACATTCAGCGAGCCATTGAAGGACTTACTTCCGTGAGGGAAGAAGCCGCCCAAACAAAGCCGGAGGAAACAGCCTCTCCATTCCCGGAGGATCAAGGTCCTCCTTTCGCCGAATGCATCATCCGGCCCGCCAAGCCAAGCGATTTTCCAAAGATCGCAGCCATTATCAACCTGGAGGTTTCTGCCACTCGCTGCCCCCAGATCTTTGAGGGCCGCGAAATTGTTGCGGATGACATATTTCCCATTTTCAGGCACTGTCAAAACACCCTGAGGCCTTTCGTTGTGGCTGTCCCAGCTAAAGACGAATTTCTCGATACATCCAAGTGGCCCTCGGGCTCTGGAAGAGTATATGAACAGTTCAAAAAGTTCAAGGAAAGCCAACCTGTCGAAGAGAATGATTTGGTATGCGGCTTCGCTTTCATCGGCGAGCCTCAGATCGGCTTCTTGAATAGGCCATGCCAAGGTGCCCGTCACTCCGGGTTGATCAGGATGGTGGTCCACCCCGACCACCGGCGTCAACTGATTGGATCTGCTCTTCTCGAAAGGATGTTAACTTTGATTGATTTAGCTCACCACCAAACGGTAGAATATCACTGGGAAGGCGACGATTCATCATCAATCTATGAGCGGTCTGCAGCTCGAAACACCCGACAGTACTCTCAGGTGTACATTGAGCTCTTCACCTCCAGAAAGGGGGACGACAGCTACGAATGGAAGTCAAAACTCCTTGATGCGTACTCTTTCAAGTGTATTGCTCGCTTTAACGACATGGCCAAAACTGACCGCGCCGAGGACAACCAGTGGCTTGATCTTACAGTTTGGGAGCACAAGATTAAGAAAGGGTCGAAACTACCCCACGTGAAGGCTTCGGAGTATTTCGCCCCCAATCTGGTTTCTTCTTAAGGGTCTACGTGACGAGACTCACGATGCCGCACTGTCGTCGCTGACACGGATCAACTCTCTTGCCTGATCTTTGGTGCACCCTATTGTCGAAACCATCGAGAAGTGTGAGGTATGGGAGATGGAGAGAATTTCGCAGAGTCGAGTTGTGGATAGGAAGGAAGAGGGATGTTAAAACAACATCGAACCATTGTGGTCTAGGTTGGAGCAGAAAGGCTGGGATGTGACGATAGTATGTGTTTGAACTTTGAATTTGCAGGGGATTGATCTTGAGGATAAAACACCCCAAATGGTGCGAAGTAATGCAATGACTAAAATCTGAGAAAATTCAACTAATTTGAGCAAGATTTTGTGACGTATTTCCTACTATCATGGTTTGATGGAAATGTCTGGAGGTGAGTAATGCTGTGAGGGGCATCACGTGCGGGTACTCAGGACAAAAGGGAATATTTTCGAGAATCTTGTGGCAGTGACTTAGCATGTCACCTACGTGGCCGAAAGCAACGGTGATAGGCCAGCTACGATAATTAGGAGCTTTGTTATGTTTTCTGGACAGCTTTCGAGATGTTGTCAATTTTAAGAAAAGCTCGCCTCAAGGACAAGGAGATGCGAATTTTGATGTTGTAAGCCACAGGTTCTCTTCCCAACAGCAACACGGGCCATGCTGATAAACGATCGCATTTGCCTGGCGCTGCAGAGGTCTGGATAATGCGGGCAAGACGACAATCGTCAAGAAGGTTATGGGAGAGGATGTCAATACGGTCAGCCCAACCCTGGGTTTTATTATCAAAACGATTGATTATGATGGGTGAGTAATGTGCTGGATTCGCGGCGACGTGGGAGGTACCAACGTTGTAAAACGACGGCTGACTTGAGACGCAGTTACAAGCTCAATATTTGTGAGGAGCTCCGAGGCGGGCAAGAGGGCACAAAACTAATACATGTTTAGGGGATGTGGGAGGGCAGAAAACCCTCAGGTCATACTGGAGGAACTATTTTGAAAAGACGGACGCCTTGATATGGGTCGTCGACTCTACAGACCGGCTACGAATCGATGACTGCCGCATTGAGCTGCAAGGCCTTCTCCAGGAAGAGGTGAGGATGGAGACTGAGCCATGCCCTGTCAACATGGTGCGAGCCTCTCGGGTGTTTGTTTATTTGGCTGACGTGGGGGATAGCGACTGGCCGGTGCCAGTTTATTAGTATTTGCCAACAAAACAGACGTTGAGGGTTGCATGGATGAGCAGGAGATCTTATCGGTATGTTGCCGTGCCAATGGCGATTAGAGGAGGGGTGGAGGGGCAGAGCGAAGCTTTTTTCAGAGGCATTGACGGCGCTGACATTTGCTGTACTGCAGGCTCTCGAATTGGAAAATGTCAGAACACATCACTGGCATGTGCTACAGTGCAGCGCGATGACAGGGAGAAACCTTGAGGAGGGCCTGGCATGGGTTGTTGAGGACGCGAAGAAGAGGCTGTTTCTTTATTAAGATCTCACCAGCGTAGGGGTCAAAGCAGTTCGGTCAATGAATCTTGTTTTTATTGCCTTGAAAGTATTTTTTAATCCTTTTTGGGACAAAAGGCCCATACGTGCCCGTTGTCAAACAAGAGATGATGTAGTACGCCAGGGTGAGCAGTACTAGAGACGAGATGTCCCTGGCTTTTCTTGGGTTGGTCCATGCCACCACATCGTGCTTGTTGCTAGCGACACCAGGTAAAGGCAGAGGTATGTAGACAAATCTACCATGCTTCCTCCCGAAATCATGCGATTGGTAAACCCTAGATTGAACAGTGGATCGGCTGGAGAAAAGCCGCATCCATGCAAATGCAAACCTTGGTTTGTTTGTTTATGCCATCGCTGCGAACTGAACTGGTTCAGGTGAGATCCCGAAGCCAAGAACCAATATCAACAAGACGAGTCTAGCGCTGCCGCCGCCCTGTGATTTCGCAGTATTGTGTCATTCTTGGTGTAAGACGGATGAGCAACCCGCTTCAAAGCTTCCTCCACATGGTAAAAGCGGCCAGGCTCTTGCCGTAGAGGTCGATAGCAGGACGTTAGTGGCCAGCGGCGTCCCTGACCAGTTACATTAGGCCTAGCTACCGGGCAGCTTACTGGGCAGCCGCAATTACTCAGGTCTGGTCTGCATACGAGACAGCGCCTGATGGTAGCCCACCGACCAGATCTATCCTTCCAAAATATTAAGAACATTTTGTTTATCCCACTCTCTCGTTTATTCTTTTGAAGAGCGACATAGGCTCGCGACGGGGGCAAGTACAGCCAAAACATTAGAAAACGCAGCGCCCTAGGTCATGCAATGACCTGATTGAGATCAAGCAATGTCCGACGAAGTATCCCAATTCCTCGAGCAGGTCGAGCGCCTGCGAGGCCAGCAGGCTGACGAGGACGAGGCCCGAGCCCGCGAGCATGAAGAGTATCTAGCAGCCAAGAGAGAGAGGCAAGCTCGTAGAGAAGGTGAGTGGGGTGCGATGTCTAAAAAATCTTAAATGCTTGTTTGTTTTGTTTTCCCTCGCGGACTAGCTTGGCCGCTGCATTGATACTGTTATGATTACGGCAACGGCGTCATTTCCATCGAGTATTCAAGATTGGCCTTGGCCCGACCAACGGCGAGCGAACCTCTCCCCCAAAATCCTTCGTCGCTTGGCTAGGAACAGGAACCGCTCGTGCCCGTTTCTCGAAGACCTCGCTAGAAGAAACCTCTATCCATTGAACCGCCTTCTCCCGACGGGCCTGTCACACAGCTGTGGACGCATGTGCCGTAGCTGACAGATTGCCCACTTTGCCATTTTTTTCGCACTTCCTCTCTAACCAGCTGCCATGATTAGAACGCGCTCGGTCAATCTCTCCACAGAAGTCATCGCCAGCAAACACACCGTCACCTCGCTCGAGCCGTCAGATCGCGCGTCTGCCCGAGGGTTCGAAGCTCGATTCCCCAACCTCGAAACCCGCCCACACGCCCCACGAGCAGTTCTCAGAGCCAGAAGCGAAATCGCCGCCCCCGATGGATTTCCCGTCCTCCACATCTCCCACGAAGGAGAATGAAGGTCCTGGGAGCTTCGAAACCGAAAAACCGGCCTCGGAGCAGAAGCCTTCCAACAGAGGATCCGGGCTCTCCTGGCAAAAACGGCCGGCTTCCCGCAACGGTCCGGGTGGTCCGCGACCCCTTAGTATGGTTGCGACCCAAAATGCGACCCAGAAGTCTCTTGTCGGGTCGCCCGTGTCGCCTGAAGCCCAGTCCGCAACGGAGACAAGCTTCTCTCGAGAGCAAATAGCACAGAGTCTCGGGTCCAAGGACCCTACATGGTTCCGCCAAACTGCCGATAGAGGCCTCAATTCCGCCGCTTATAGGAAGAATCAAGTCGAAGACGACGAACGCGCAGATCCCTCGTCTGTCAAAGCACAATTGCCTGGCATGTACGCCGAACCTGCCAAAGAGAGCGTCTCGGATGCAAGCTCCCCTATCCGTCGCTCAATCGCATCTCCTCCGACTTTGAACCCTCCTCGATTTGATAAACCTGCCGAGGGAAGCTCCTCGCCCACCAACCATACGAGATCTCCGTCAGGTTCCCCCACCCGATCTACGTCTCCAACCAAGGGGATGGGTGGCTTTGTGCAGAGCGCTATGATGAAGAGATCGGACAGTGTCAAGCGGTGGAGCGTGCAGAGCCCCCCTGGCCTGGCACGTGGCAACACGCTTGCATCCAATCGATCAGGCCATGGCAAAGACGCATCGATCTCGTCGTCGAAGCCCCCGACACTCGCTCGTGATAATTCGGCCACACCAAGCTCGAGCGTACCGGCTTCCCCCCATGATGAGAATGATAACAGCAATGACACAACCCCTCGACCTTCAGGCACAGACACAACAATGGAATCAAAACCAGATCTCGGAGAAGGCCAGGACCAGCCAATCCCAGTTAGCCCCTCAAGGACTATGGACCCACGACGTTGGAGTCCAACCAAGGGAAGCTGGCTCGAGAGCGCACTCAACAAGCCCGAATCGCCGAAACCACAGCAGAAACCAAACAACTCGACACAGCCAGCTTGGATGGCCGAACTGAACAAGAACAAGAACGAAAGAGCTGGGCCTGGGCACAAGCATCAAGTCAGTATTGGAGGACTTATGAGATCCACACCAATGGGCGACGCTGCGAAACCAAATACCACAGGCCTAGGGGGGATCTATTCACCACCCCCTGGCGGCAACCGACCTGCATTCGGCCATAGGCCCCAGCCTAGCATATCAAAACCTGTCGTTGAGCCTAGTGCTTCCAAGGATGAAGTGGACGAGGTTGACAACAGCGAAACAGCGGAGGTGGAACAACAAGCTGTAGGCAACACGGATTCGAAACAAGCTACAACTCCAAGCTCATTGACCAGTCCGCCTCAGCTGAAGCCAAAGCCAGAAACCCCACCCAAGAAGGATTTCCGTACGAACCTGAGGCAAAGACCTGCTCAGGAGGGACCAAAGGGCACAGATGAGTTGGAATTCAGACGCGCTTTTGGCAGCCTGCGGAGAGCCAAGACCCAAAATTACGTTGCTCCTGATGAGCTCAAAAGTAATATTCTTCGAGGCAAAGCGGCTCTGAACCTGACTGGTGGACCGCAAAAGTCAGAGATCAAAGATGAGTTTAAAGAAGCTATCCTCAAGAAGAAGGGTGATTTCAAGAAGGCACAGCAGGAAGGCAAAGGGATAACCAGAACTTCATCCTTGGATTCTGAACAGCCCGTTCCAGAGGGGCTTGCCCGGCGAGCCGAGCTCGGGAGACCGCCAATAGGTTTGAAAAAGGATCCTGTTCCCGTGCCCTCAAGATCACCTACGATTGGGGTGACCGACCCAAAGTCGCCTCCAGCCTCCATTCCCCTTGGTAGCTCTTCTCCAGAGCTAAAGCAATCTCCAACAGAAACTGAAGTGAAGAAGGAGACGCCCGTGCCCCTGAAGGTCCAAGGTCGTGTTGGTGGAAGCAAGCTCGCAAATCGCTTCA